GATTATTGGAATTAAATCCGAGAAAGCGCGCGGGGGCCGAGGGGGCGTGGCTACAAGGAGGCGTGGGCGTGGCTAAGGGGAAAGAGGGCGTGGTTGCGGTCGAAAAGGGGCGTGTTTGCGGTGGAAAGGGGCGTGGCCATGCTGCGGTGCGGACGCGTGTTGGGGCAAAGGGCGGCGGGGGGGGGGAGACCCCCATGGGGGGGACACGGGGGGACCCCCCGACAGGAGGGGGGTCCGAGCAGAGCCCTCCGCACTGCGGCACCGCGCGGCGCCGACTTCTTCCGCGGTGAGGGACGGGGGATGGCAACGGGGGGGAGCAACGGGGGGGAAGGGGAAGCGGAGGTTGGGGGCTGGGGTCCGCAGCGGGGATTTTGGGGGGGGAGGTTCGTGGGAAGTGGAGGGGTGTGTTGGGATCGCTGGGAATGGGGTGAAAGGAATGCAGAGTTCCAGGGAATGCGGGGCTCCCGGGGTGTAGGAGGTCACTGGGAATGAGGGGCTCGCTGGGGGGGATGGAAGGGTTATGGGGGTATATGGGGTGGTCCTGGAGGGAATGGAGAGGGGGTTGGGGTGTGTTGGGATCGCTGGGAATGGGGAGGGCGTCAAAGGGATGGAGAGTCCCGGGGAATGGGGGGCTTGCTGAGAACGGGGGGGTTTCTGGGAATGGAGGGTCACTGGAAATAGGAGAGTCGCTAGGATGGTTATGGGGGGGTCACTGGGGGAATGGAGCGGAGGTCGGGGTGAGAATGGGGAGGGGATCAAAGGAATGTGGAGTTCCAGGCAATGTGGGGGTCCCAGGGGGTAGGAGGTCACTGGGAATGGGGGGCTCGCTGGGGTGGTTATGAGGGTATATGGGGAGGGATGGGTCCGGGGGGAAGAGAGGGTTTATGGAGGTATATGGGGGATCCTGGAGGGAATGGAGGGGGGATCGGGATGTGTTGGGATCCCTGGGAATGGGGTGGGGGGAGGGTCAAACGGATGGAGGGTCCCAGGGAATGGGGAGGTCACTGGGGTTGGGGGATTGCTGGGGTGTGTGGCCTTTACGAGGGTATATGGCGGGGTCCCAGGGGAAATGGAGGGAGGGTCGGGGTGTGGGATCGCTGGGAATGGGGAAGGGGCCAAAGGAATGCAGGGAATGGGGGGGTCCCAGGCAATAGGGGGGTCCAGAGGATGCAGAGGGAACTGGGTTGGTCTCAGAGTGTGGAGAGGATACTGGGGGCTCTGAAAGGGAACTGAAGTGGTCCCATGGGATGCAGAGGGTACTGGGTTGGTCCCAGATGGTACTGGGGTGGTCCCCTGGGATGCAGAGGCAATTGGGGTGGTCCCAGATGGTACTGGGGTGGTCCCAGGGGATGCAGAGGGTCCTGGGGTGCCCGGAGGGGCTACCAGCTGTGCCCCCCAGGCCTGGCAGCCCCCCCATGTCTCAGCAGAGCTGGGGCAGACCCTGGGGCGCATGGGGCAGACCCTGAGGGACCAGGTGCCGGCGGCGGGGAGCGCCTGGGGGGGCTGGCTGCCCCCAGGGATCCACCCCGACCCCCGGCCCCCCGACGAGGCCGATGTGGTGGTGGTGGGGGGCGGCGTGGTGGGCTGGTCCGTGGCCTACTGGCTGAAGGTGCTGGAGGGCAGTTTCCGGCGGCACGGGATGAAGGTGCTGGTGGTGGAGCGGGACCCCACGGTGAGACACCCCCTCCCGGGGCAGGGTGTGACCCCCCCGAGCCCCTGTTAATTGCTGGGGGGGGTCCTCCCTGTCAGTATTCCAGAGCCTCCACGGTGCTGTCGGTGGGGGGGATCCGGCAGCAGTTTTCCCTCCCGGAGAACATCCGGATGTCCCGGTTCTCTGCCAGCTTCCTGCGTGACATCAATGTGTGTGGGGCTGGTTGTGTGAGCGGGGGGGTGGTTTGGGGGGTCCCAGCCCTGCTCACCGGGGTCCCCTCCTCTCCTCACAGGAGCACCTCGGGGTTCCCAACGAGCCCCCCATCGACATCCAGTTCCAGCCCTCAGGATACCTGTTCCTGGCCTCCCCAGAGGATGCTGCCAAGCTGGAGGCCACTGTCCAGCTCCAGAGGTGGGGGACACACACAGGCTCCCCCCACAGGGGGGATTTTTGGGGAAGGTGGGGGTCATCCTGACCCCCCCTCCACCTGCTGGCTGTTCCCAGGGATGAAGGGGCGCAGGTAGCCCTGCTGTCCCCCACCCAGCTGAAGGAGAAATTCCCCTGGATAAACACGGAGGACGTGGCCGTGGCATCCTATGGTATGTGGGTGTGAGGACCCCCCCTTAACACCCATCCTTAACCCCATAACCACCCTATATCCCCACCTTGCTGGATGCTTCCTGCATTCCTGGCTTTATTTATGGAAGGGGAGGTCCAGCCCCCCCCAAACTGCATTTTTAGGGGGGAGTCACACCACAGTGCCCCCTCCCTCTACCTATGTCCCCCCCAGGCCTGGAGGATGAAGGCTGGTTCGACCCCTGGACCCTCCTCAACGCTTTCCGGCGCAAAGCCACGGCCCTGGGGGTCCACAACTGCCGCGGGGAGGTGCGAGGTGAGGAACGGTGGGGGCGGGCACTGGACCCCACTGGGACCTCCACTGGGGACCACCACCCCCAGGAACCCCCACCTTAACCCAAAACCCTCCAGCTTTTGTCACCACAGCCAATGACCCAACACAGTCAGCAGCGGAGTCCGCGCGCATTAAATACGTGCACGTGAGTGTCTGTGTGTGTGTGTCTGTCTGTCTGTGTCTGTCTGTCTGTGTCTGTGTCTGTGTGTGTGTGTGTGTGACCCCCCCAAAACTCGTGGGTCCTCCAGGAGTGTCCATGACAACCCCTCTGCCCCATCTCCATGTGGGGTCTGTACAGGTTGAGCACGTTTTCTTTCTAATTCACAAGGACCCCCCCCCGAAGTTTGCCAGAGTTAAAGACCCCCTTATTGTGAATGAAGGCCTGAAACCAGCCAGAAAGGCCTTGCATGAAGCAAAGTGTGGATCTTGATTCTGTGCACAGGCTGCACTGGGGGCATTATTGGGGCTGCCCAAGTCATGGCAGCTGCCCAGGAAGAAGGAAGATCACGTGTGCTGTTTGGAGGAGTTATTCAGGGTGGCAGTTACTGCTGGGATGTCTGCCCTCACTCACAGCCTTTTCTGAGAAATATTGAGGCAGCTGAAATGTTTATCTGGTTGTGTGTGGTATACGTAGGTTTTATGAAATGAGAAGAGAGCTCACAAAATTCCTGCAGTGGCAGGAACTCTGTCCAAAGCAGGCCTGTGCTGTATCAGGTGGCTGAAGGGCCGATGATCCATGACTCTTCACAAGTATTTCAGTTATCCCTGGGAATTCCTGCAACAGGAGACCCAGAAAGTGGACCTTGGCCACCTGGACAAAGACCTCAAGCCCAAACTACTACAAAAGTAGTTCTGCTCTTGGCCCTGCATGTGATCCTGGAACAAAACACTCCAAGTCTGTGCCCACCCCTCACAGATCTACATGCCAGACAGCCTGGAGTACCAGCCTGTCGCCTGCTCCATCGTGGTCAACGCTGCAGGCGCCTGGGCTGGGAAGCTGCTGGAGGCTGATGGGCTCCCCAGGAAGCTGTGCCAGCCCCCCCTGCCCATCCAGCCCAGGAAGAGGTATCTGGGGGGCTCATGGGGGGGTGGGCACAGCCTGGCAGTGCACCCTCTGTGGTGGGTCAGAGTGGGGGCACATCCCAGGACCTCTCCTTTTTCCAGGGAGAGTGAACCCCTTGGTGCTATTTTGGGGGGCAACCTCAGCACCCACCACCCCTCTGTCATGGGGGGAACTCCTCAGGGTTTTTTGAGGGGGGTAAGGGGGGTCATCCTGGCACCCAGCACCCCTCCATCTTCGAGGGAGTGGAGGGATGGACCCCCTTGGTGCTTTATTTTTGGGGTGGGGGGCTTGCATCCCACCATCCTCCAAACTCAGGGAGGGAGGGTGAACTCCCTTAGTCTTTTTTTTGGAAAGGTGGTGTTGCATCTTGGGGGTCCCATTGTCCCTCCAGTGCCCCCAGCCCCAGTACTCCCATTATCCCTCTCATACTCCCAGTCCCAGTGTCCCCATTATCTCCCCAGTGTCACCTGTCACCCCGCCACATTGACCCCAGCCTCAGTATCCCCAGGATCCCCCCAGTATCCCCAGTGCCACCAGTATGTCCCCAGTGTTCCCATTTTTACCCCCTCAGTGCTCCTAGACCCAGTATCCCCCCCAGTACCCCCATTACATTCCAATGCCCCCAGTCCCAGTGTCCCCAGTATCCCCCCAGTACTCCCATTATCCTCTCAGTATCCCTCCATGCTCCCATTATCCCTCCACTGCCCCCAGTGCCAGTGTCCCCATTATCTCCCCATTGTCCCCCCACTACCAGTGCCCCAATTATCCCCCTAGTGCCCCCAGTCCCAGTGTCCCCATTACCCCCCAGTGCCCCCAGTCCCAGTGTTCCCATTATCCCCCAGTGCTCTCAGTGTCCCCATTATCCCCCCACTACCAGTGCCCCAATTATCTCTCCAGTGCCCCCAGTCCCAGTGTCCCCATTATCCCCCCAGTACTCCCATTATCCTCTCAGTATCCCTCCATGCTCCCATTATCCCTCCACTGCCCCCAGTCCCAGTGTCCCCATTATCCCCCAGTGCCCCCACTCCCAGCCCCTCCATTGTCTCCAAGAGCAACGTGACCCCTCAATGTTATTTTTTGGGGTGTCCCCACATCCCACCCCTAAGATGGGGGGCAGGGGCAGCACCCCTCACCCTATTTTTTGGGGGGTTCCCCAGGTACGTGTTCTGCTGGCACTGCCCAGACGGCCCTGGGCTCTCCTGCCCCTTCCTCGTGGACACCTCGGGCGCTTATTTCCGTCGGGAAGGGATCGCTGGGAACTACCTGGGCGGGATGAGCCCCCCCGAGGTGAGCCCAGAGGGGTCCCCCAGGTCATTCACCCCCCTGTTCTTTATCAAACCCTATGATGAAGGTACCCCCAAAATGCCAGGCAGCGGAAGGATTCCGGGAACGTTTATTCCCTGGGCTTACAAGGGAAAATTCCTAACAGTGCCTGAGAAAGACATGCCCCTCTGGTTTTCCTTGGCTTTTATCATCGCTGCCTGATGGTGAACATCTGTGAGGGTTTATCTCTGCTCAAACCAGAGGGAGAGAGCCTGGAAGCTTCCTCTGGAACGCAGGAGTTAAAAAAAACCATCCAGCTATCTTTGAGGAAGGTGCTTCTCCTTGGGCAGGAACCAAGCTCCATCCTCCTGGCTATATATCTTCCTCCAAGGGTATCTGTAGGAGTCGGGTTTCAGGAAAGGGTGTAACTTTTGGTTTTCTGTAACAAAAAAAAAAAGGGGGGGGAAGACAGCAGGTAAGACATGATCTGGGTTTGTTGAGCCTTACACTCTTCGTGTTGATTCCTTTTCAGATTTTCAAAACAGGTACAGTTGCCAGATTGAAAAACATACAACCAATAACCACTGCAAAAACCCAAACTACATGATTTAAACAGGGACATAATAAAAACACCCTTTCCTGAAACCTGACTCCTACAGGTATCTATAATTAAAGCCGCCCCAATCCATGTTTCCCAGGAGGAAGAGCCAGATCCCAGCGACCTCTCGGTGGACCACGACTACTTCCAGGAGCAGCTGTGGCCCCGGCTGGCCCGGAGGGTGCCGTCCTTCGAGTCCCTGCGGGTGCGGGGGTCCTGGGCCGGCTACTACGACTACAACACCTTCGACCATAACGGGGTGCTGGGCCCGCACCCCCGGCTGGAGAACATGTTCCTGGCCGCGGGCTTCAGCGGGCACGGCCTCCAGCACTCGCCCGCCGCCGGCAGGGCCGTGGCCGAGCTGGTGATCCGGGGCCGCTTCGAGAGCCTGGACCTGCGGCGCCTGGGCTGGGCCCGGCTGGAGGACGGGGAGCCCCTGCGGGAGGCCGGCGTGGTCTGATGGGGGCGGGGAGGGGGGACACCGAGGGGCGGCCCTGGCACCCCCTCCCCCGGCTGGATGAGTGTCCTGTAGGAATAAAAGGGGCAGGTGATCGGTTAATGGGGTCCAGACCTGTCGTGCTGCCTCCACCAGCACCGCCAGTATCCTCAGTTGCAGTGTCCCCATTATGCCCCCCCCAGCTTCAGTGTCCACATTGCCCCCAGTATCCCCACTATGTTCCCATATCCCCCAGTCTCAGTGTCCCCAGTATCCCCATTATGTTCCCATACACCCAGTGCAATGTTCCTGGTATCCCCCCAGTGTCCCCACTACCCCCATTCCCCCCAGTATCCCCACTATGTTCCCATACACCCAGTCCCAGTGTCCCTATTATGTTCCCATACCCTCAGTCCCAGTGTCTCCAGTATCCCCCAGAGCCCCTAGCCCCAGTTATCCCTGTTATCCCCCACTATCCCCATTATCCCCCCATTATCCCCCACCATTCCCAGTATTCCTCAGCCCCAGTTATCCCTGTTATCCCCCCACTATCCCCATTATCCCCCACTCTTCCCAGTATCCCCCATCCCCAGTTATCCCCATTATCCCTCACTATTCCCAGTATCCCCCATCCCCAGTTATCCCCATTATCCCCCACTACGTCCAGTATCCCCCATCCCCATTATCCCCCACTATTCCCAGTATCCCCCATCCCCAGTTATCCCCATTATCCCTCACTATTCCCAGTATCCCCCATTCCCATTATCCCCCACTATTCCCAGTATCCCCCATCCCCAGTTATCCCCATTATTCCCCACTATTCCCAGTATCCCCCATCCCCAGTTATCCCCATTATCCCCCACTATTCCCAATATCCCCCATCCCCATTATCCCCCACTATTCCCAGTATCCCCCATCCCCAGTTATCCCCGTTATCCCCCACTATTCCCAGTATCCCCCATCCCCAGTTCCCCACTATTCCCAGTTATCCCCGTTATCCCCCACTATCCCCAGTATCCCCCATCCCCAGTTATCCCCAATATCCCCCACTAGTCCCAGTATCCCCCATCCCCAGTTATCCCCGTTATCCCCCACTATTCCCAGTATCCCCCATCCCCAGTTATCCCCCACTATTCCCAGTATCCCCCATCCCCAGTTATCCCCATTATCCCCCACTATTCCCAGTATCCCCCATCCCCAGTTATCCCCCTTATCCCCCACTATTCCCAGTATCCCCCATCCCCAATTATCCCCATTATCCCCCACTATTCCCAGTATCCCCCCAGCTCTCCCAGTTCCCCCTCCTCGCGTACGTGGCGCCCTCTGGTGGCGGGGCGGCCGCAGCGCGCATGCGCAGCATGGGTGGAGGGGCAATGTGGTAGCGCGGGAACTGGCGCACGCGCAGTACCGGGGAAGGCGCCGCTGCCACCAAAGAGGCGTGGCCACTGGCGGTGGGGCGTGCCTTGCTGCAGGGGGCGTGGTTACCGAGAGGGGGGCGGGGCTTGAGACAGAGGGCGGGGCCGCGGCAGTGCCCGTGCGCGGCGCATGCGCGGTGGGCGCGGCCGGGCCGTGTGAGCCGGGCCCGTCCCGCCCGTCCGCCCCCGGCCCGGCCCCGGTGAGTGCGGGGGGACCGGGGGGCACCGCCGGGGGGGGACACACGTGGGGACACCCCGGGGACCGCGCGGCAGCCCTGGGGAACCGGCCCGGAGGGAATCCGGGACCTCCCACCCCACACACACACACATGGGGACACTGGGAACAGCCCTGAGGTAAAATGTGCCCCCGCCCGCATTATGGGGTCACACGGACCCCCGGTGGGCGGGAGGGGGTTCTGCCTGTGAGTAACTCCTTAGGAAACCTGCAGGGCGGTTCTGGCCCCGCAGCTCAGGCCCCGCCGGGGTTTGACTCGGAATAACCAAAACAACCCCCTTTTTTTAATAATTATTTTTAATTGTTCGTGCCCTGCGCCGCGGCGGCACCACCGACGTGCCGGGGCTTGTGGCTCCGGAGCCGCCGGGAGCTCCTGCCGGGGAGCGGTGAGAGGGTTGAGTCCTGGTGGGAGAGCACGAGTGTTTTCCCTCGATTCCCTTGTTTTTATTTCCGTGGTGCTTTCCAAGAGCTGTTCCGCAGACCCTGTGGAATGAGCGGGACGGGTCCACTCCCAGGCCCTTCGGAGGAGGGTCGGAGGGCCGGGAATGCTGTGAGAGGTCACCGGGGTTCGATTTAAGCTGTAATTCCCGCTGTGTTCACTCCCCGCAGGCTCCACCTGTTTCCCGTCTCTCCAGGATGAGAGAGGCCTGGGCCCGGCTCTCCCCCTCTCCCTGTAGTTGATAGTTTGGGAAGCAGAGGTGATGCTGGAGTCGAGATGGCCGACAGCGTGAGAACCTTCCTTCATGACCTCGTCAGGGTGAGCTCCGGGTCCCGTCCCGTCGGGAGCACCTTCCTTCCCAGGGCGCCCGGCAATTGAAGGAAAAGGGGCTCCAGGTGTATTTTAACACCATTGTTTGGTGTGTCTGTTGCTGCTGAATCTCTGACGGGTTTCCCTTGGGCACAAATTAGTGTCTAATATGTTGTTGTTGTTATCATACTAATTTTCATTATTAAAATGTATAATACATATAAAGTGTATAATACATATAAAATATAAAATATACACGAAGTATATAAATATAATATATATATCATAATATATATATAATATATTATTATATACTGTATAGTATATAATATATTATTATAAACAAAATGTATACTGTATGAAACATATATATTAAATCTAGAATATATATAAAATAGAATATAAATAAAATATAATATAAATAAAATGCATAATATATACACAATATATGATATAGATGAAATATAGAATATATAAAATATAATATAAATAAAATGCATAGTATATACAAAATACATGATACATATAAAATATAGGATATAAATGAAATGTATAATTATACAAAATATATGATACATATAAAATATAGGATATTAATAAAATGTATAATTATACAAAATATATGATACATATAAAATATAGGATATAAATGAAATGTATAATTATACAAAATATATGATACATATAAAATATAGGATATAAATGAAATGTATGATACATGTAAAATATATAATATATATGAAACATACTATACATTTCATATATACTTTACATTTATAATATATAAATACTCTCTATTGATATATGTTAATGTATACATTATGTTAATATTACAGTTAATATATTAATATTACAGTTGACTATATTTAATATACAAAAAGTATTATGACTGATACTATTATGTAATATGTCATACATTCTAATTATATTTAATATATATTATATATTCGTAATATAATATATATTAATAATATATTAACAATATATTATAACCATTATATATTAATAATATATAATATAATATATATGATATTATATATTAATAATATATTATAACCATGTCCATGGCAGCTCTGTACCAGCAATAAGGTCTGTGTGAACTCGCTGCTCCCACCCTGCCTTCCATCATCCAGGGGTAAATACAGCCTTAAAAACTGTGCTGTGACACTGAGCACCAGCTCGTGTCCAGAAGTAACTTGTGTTGGGAAACTCGCTGGGTTTGATCAGACACCTGTGGTGGGAAGAGTTGTGTCCTTTCCTGGTGCTCCCACACCATCTTCCCAACGTGGAGTAAAGCAAAACCTCTGGGCACACTCCTAGTAACAGGTTTGCAGTGATGTGGCTGGTGGGAGGATGTTTCTGGGGTGAGGAGAGATGCTTTTATTTGTGAAGGAATGAGCATCAAACCCATAGGTATAGTCAGACTTTGCACATCCCAAATATTTGTGTAATTCCACTTTATTGGCCTCAAAGTGCTGGCAGGGGATGAGGGTCCTCCTGCCAGACAGGGCTGGGAGAGATCCGACTCTTTGGCTTCTGCCAGGGTTATAAATAGTGCAGATTGGAAGAGAAATCACACCTTTACAGAAAAATTACTGCTGCTCCTGGAGATGCTGGAATGAGCAGTGATTTAGGTCACCAGACCATGGAAAGAGGTGGTGTTGCTGCTCCAGGCCTTGGCTCCGGCTGAGCCGGGTGCTGCTTAGCCAGGGAGCTGGGCCAGCCATGCAACCAGGAGGGCTCTGATGGCACATCCCATTCCTCCTCTCTCCTTGTGCTGCAGGGAATTAAGGACTCCATCTGGGGCATCTGCACCATCTCCAAGCTGGACGCCCGGATCCAGCAGAAAAGGGAAGAGCAGAGGCGCAGGAGAGCCAACAGCGCGCTGGCCCAGCGGAGGTTTCACATGGAAGAGAAGAAGCAAGAGAAGTGAGTACAGGGCCCAGCAAGTCAGAAATGGGGTCATTCCCTTCTCCTCTGGTAGCCAGAGCCAATAAATGGGAAAAAGGTGGCGTGAAACTTCCTTTTTCCACTGCATAATGGAGCTGGAGCTGGAGCTGTGAGATAAGAAGTCGGACCTTTTATGTTTCATAATTAGCTTGAATTGCCAGTGGAAGGTGTGGAGCTGTGCACGCTGAAAGAACATGGATTTATGGGTTTGTTTTCCTCCTGAATCCTCGTCCTGCCTCAGATCCATTGTTTTTTCTGGTAGTCATGGGATCAGGGAAGAAGCAGCAGCTCAGATCCATCTCTTTTCCCCAGGCCTGCGGCGTGTGGAGCTGCAGAATCTCAGTGGCTCTGGAAATGCCAGAATTATCTCCACGTGGGAGCAAAGAGCATCTGTTCCCATGTCTGACTCCCAGACTGCGCTGGGATGTGTCTGTGCTGCCCTGATTACACTGGGCTGGCACCTCACACGGTGGTTTTGGGAACGTCTGAGACACTTCCCAGTTTTTCTGCCCAGCAGGGTGGTAGGCTGGCTGAAAGGGGAAAGAAAAGTCTCCCTGGATCCCAGTCCTCCCTAGGGCTTCACACATGGGCTGCCCCTGAGGAATAATATAAATTTTAGGGGCACTAAACAGCTAAATTTTGCTGGTTTTCATTGTAACAAAGTCCCTTTGGTAGCAGGAGCTGACTGGGAAAATGCTGCAGAGTCTCACAGAGCTGCTCTTGTGTGTCCAGATAGTGA